AGTATATATTTCAATTTTAGGAATAATTTTGTATCAAAAATGTGTTTTTGTCCTCTCATCTTGGAAAATATAGGTTTTTGCCACTTTTTGCCACTTTGCTTGGCAAAAACCTGTTTTTGCCAGGACGGTTTTTACCGGTATTTACCATGGTTTTTTCCACCTGCGGCAAAATCTTGCCAACCCTGGATTCTGTAGATACCGTTAACAGGAAAAAACACACTCACCCAAAATTGTCAAAAATTATCCTATGTGCAATATTTTTCCTTATACCCAATATTTCATATTACTAATATTTACCTAATTTTTTTTTTTTTTTTTTTGCAATTTGTAAGTTTTAATTTCTTTTTTTAGAAGTTGCAGAGGCAGTTAGAATTTTTAGAAGTACAAGAAGAGTATATTAAAGATGAACAGAAGAATTTGAAAAAGGAGTATCTGCATGCTCAAGAAGAAGTTAAACGAATTCAAAGTGTGCCCTTAGTTATTGGTCAATTCCTGGAAGCTGTTGATCCAAATACTGGAATAGTTGGGTCAACTACAGGTAATAAGAATATTAAAACATTTTTGGGTAAAACATTTTGTTGCGTTTTTGTTAAACATTCTATTTTGATGAGAGTATCAAGTTGTTTTTAAATAGCTTTGCTTTAGATGGAAAGTTATTTCTAATTACTTAAAAATTTATCTTATATTTGCATTTATATTGATTTTTATTATGACAGTGAATTTTTATATTTATTTTTCTTGTGGATGTTCTTTTTGTCTTTTTACAATGAAGATGGAATTAAAATCAAATAAATTTTATTTTAATATTTGTTACTTTCAATCAGGTAATGTATATTGAATTCAAACAATGTTTAATAATTGTTTGTAATATTTCTCTTAATTTTATATATTTATAGCTTTAATAATTTGCAAATTCTATTGATTTTTTCATAAATTAGAAGCTCAACTGCTTCCCCTCAATTTTTCTAGTATAATTCAAATTTAATCAAAGTCCTAATCAATATTTTATTTTCAGTGATTTGATTTATACAGTTTATAATATGTGTTCATTTTAATAATATATTTGTTTGTGTAATCTGATAATTATATCGAAATTTTTTTAATTCTTATTTTAGGATCCAATTATTATGTCCGTATTTTGTCTACCATTGACCGAGAACTGTTAAAACCTAGCTCAAGTGTAGCTTTACATAAGCATAGTAATGCTTTAGTTGATGTTCTTCCTCCTGAAGCTGATAGCAGCATATCTATGTTAAGAGCAGGTATTTGTTTTGACACAGTTGCTTATATTTATTTTATTATAATAAATCAACTTTAAGCTCTTATATTAGATGAAATGAAAGTTATTTGCAGTTCATTTTAATTATATTAGCTCATTTTTAGTTTTACATTGAAACTGTTGCATGATTGTTCATAATATTTTGTTACTTTCTATTTTAGCTATAAATTATTAATTGTTATGATTTTGGAAATGAAATTAAATCTATGTGTGTGATTAATATGTATCAAATTATGTAAAATTTCATTACTCCAATTCAAATTTGATTTGATAATAACTAGTGTAAACTAACCAGTGAAGGAACACTTAAGCTTTGCTTGTCTTTTAAAAAATCATATTAATTTCAAAATTCATAATTTTAGTTAAATTTCAGTGTCAACATATTTGTTACTAATTGCAAATTATGTAAAAAAAATTGTAGAGATCTTACATAATATTGTTTTAAAGTTTTGGAGGTTCAAATAACAAGTAGTAAGAAGACCAAGTGAAGGAACAGCTCTTACCAGTGAATGAACACCCAGTAAAGGAACACTTAATTTTGGTTATTTTTTAATGCTCTTTATGAATTTATAAGCCATACAAATATTTAAAAACAAGCCTATTCTTGAAATTATAACATATAAATACTTGGAAAATGTTAACTTTTTTTTGTAATCATGAATTGAAAATTAAAGTGTCAACATATTAACACATACTGTTCATTCACTGGGAAATCTATGCCCAGTAAAGGAACATGCCTGTTCCCTCACTGGTTAGAAGTTGTTTTTCGTATTTTTAACATACTTTTGATGCGGAACATCACTAAAGGTACAAGAAAATTAAAGTTTATCTTTTATTTTCATTAACTTAGAAAAAAAACCAGTAAAGGAACACTTGTTCCTTCACTGGTTTTTCATCGTTTGGTGATCCAGTGAATTAACACCCCCTTATCTCAGTACTTTATTATGCTATGATGCTTTAAAAAAAAACGTAACTTCAATAACTGTATTTTGACTTCTCTTTTTCGCAGTGAGAAAAATAAAACTATTACATGCAATTAATTCCACTTCAAGCATATAAATACATACACTCGCCTTATAATTTTTTCAAAGAAACAAGGTGTTGCAGAGATAATCACAAATTCAAAAATTTTTCCAGAGAAGTCTATTTGACCAGGTAATCCAAAACATTGCTAGATAACTTCCTATTGTTCGGCAGTAAGCTATTGTTATCAATCAATCTAAAGAAAAACTTTCAAATTCTTATTTTAATCAATATATATGAAATGTTCCTTCACTGGGTAGTGTTCCTTCACTAGTTGGTTTACCCTACATTACAAATATTTATACTGTTACTTCTGACAAATTTTAACTATATGCATGTACTAAATTACTTTTCAGATTTTAATTTCGAACAAATATTAGTTTATTTTTATTAAAAAAATAAATGAACAAAAATAAAATGAAAATATATATCAATTAAATAAATTTATTATTATCTTTTTTAAAGAATTTAATTAAAAAAAATAATGGAGTTGAATAAAATGTAAATATATATCAATTAAATAAATTTATTATTATCTTTTTTAAAAAATTTAATTTAAAAAAAAAAATAATGGAGTTGAATCTTGCTTTTAGCTCATTTTAAACTATGTTTATGTTTTCTTTCTTCTAAAAGTGAGGTAAATATGTTTTTTAAAATTCATGTCTACTTTGTAACCTGTTTGAACTATTAGAGTTAAAAGTAACTACTTTCTGTTTTCAATTACATTTAATTAACTTAATTTAATTATTTTGCTTTTTAAATTACCTTACATTTAATTTAAGAAGCAAAATAAACAATAATACAAATTTTTTTTAAAATTATTTTTATTATTAGGAATGCATTTCATTTATAAAATAAGTCAGGTGTTAGAGTTTTTTCACCCTACCAAAATCTTAAAAAACTTTAGGAAAGCTATTTGATTTATGTCTTATCAGTTTGATTAAAAATACTTGATTATTATGTTACTGAAATGTCGTGATATTAACAAACTTAATTTTACCAAGTATCTGACTTCTAAGACTTGACTTAATACCTACTCAATAAATGTAACTGTTTTGTTGAAGCAATTTTCAAATATTTAATTACGAAATCTTTTTTTTTTAACCTCTTGAAAATTATCTTAAGAAGAAGCTTGTATGTATTGAAATCAAAGCTTATATCTAATTCTCAAATTCTGAAGTGTTGCAGTTGTGCCTTTTTGGAGTTATAATTACTAAAGAATATTAAAACCATTTTTTTGATGGCACATTATTAAAAATCATCTTCTGTAAAACATATAAGTTTTAAATAAATAATTTGTATTGTTATACTTGTTTGTTCTTTTTCTGGCTGATTAAGTTGGTACTTTCTTGAGTATAAAAATTTCTTCTTCCCTTGCTATTCAATGAGGAAGACTGTTGGAAAATAAAAGCGTCATTTAAAGTCACAATTAGTTTGATGTGCGTAACCACGTTTTCAAAAAGCTTATATTTTTCATCAAGTATTTCTTAATATTATTTTCAGTTGAAGAGTTTCTGCAATTTTAACTAGATAATAGCGGACTGTTCAAAAAATTTTTTGACTGCATAGAATTTTTTTTGTTTTTACAAAAAATTACTCACCTGAATAATTTAAAAATGTCGCTCATCATTATATTGCCACAAATCCTTCATTTAAAGAAAATAAGTGATGCATTTCCAGGCATAGAGCAACAAAAATTAACATACAAAAGTAAGATTGTCATTTTTGTAAATATATTTGTAATTTTTCTCATTTGCGATATAAATTGTCATTTTTGTTAAAAAGGTGCACTAGAAGGCATCAATTTTTTAATTAAATTGTTTCTAACCTGAAACTTATTTTTTATTTTGCTTTATAATAACATTCATAAGGTATACTGCATATAATACATAATATACTGCTTTTTTATTAAAATTATTTAATTGTGCAGGGTTAATGACCTTTAATTTTTTTTTTTATTCTATTTTTTTATCATCAACAATCTAATATTTAATATTATTGATAGATGAAAAACCGAGTGAAACATATGCTGACATAGGAGGTTTGGATATACAAAAGCAAGAAATAAGAGAAGCAGTAGAATTGCCTTTGACACATTTTGAATTATATAAACAGATAGGTATTGATCCACCTCGTGGTGTTTTGATGTATGGTCCCCCTGGATGTGGAAAAACTATGTTAGCAAAAGCTGTTGCTCATCACACAACTGGTAAGCTTTACTGTTATGTGTTTTGTTAAATTGTTTTAAAACATATTAAAATTTTGTTTTAAAAGCTGATTTCAATCTTTATCTTCTGATCTAGGTGATTATAGCTTGCATTTCCATTTCAGGAGATTTTTAAATTTACTTTCAAAATTCCATTAAATCTGCTATGTGTGATGTCTATGTTAAAGTTATTTTTTTTAAATTATTCATTGTGATTTTAATATTTTTTTTCTCTGATCTTAATTTATATATCTTGAAATAATTATTTGAATTCTAAATAATTTTGATATGATTTTCTTTGGAATTTTTGTGAGTGCAGTAAAAATTTAGACGGCCACATTATTTTTAGAATATCTTAGTAAGTAAAGTTGATTTGAAGTAAAAAAAAAAAAAATGATTAAAATTATTTTCTAAATGTTTAAGGAACATAATATATTGATAACTTCATATTTACAGTAGCTAATAATTATTTTCTATTCCAAAATTTTGGGTTTCGGTCAATCTTCAAAAATTATGTCAAAAAGAGGTTTTGACATGATAATTAAGTCCATTTAAAACTGTCAATTGTCAAAAACTTGCTAAACCTGGCTGGATCTATTAATAACTCTTATAATTTATTGAATTTTGCATTAAAAAATGCATAAGAAACTGCCTAAATTATCAAGATGGAGATATCAGACACGTAAATAGTTATATATAAATAATTGTGCATTAAACCTTTATAGCTTTTCTAGCATCTAAATCATTAATTCTGTAGACTTGGTTCTGATCTCATTCAATTTAGTGTTAAAAAGAAGAACGAAAAACTATGTAGAATTATGCATTGTTTGGTTATGTAACAATGTCAAGTGGATTGATAAGTTCAAAAGTGTACCTTTTATATACATAGAAACTTCTATAATTTATGAACTATTAGTCCTATCAATGAGATTAATAGTTGTCAATAATATCAGTACATCAATATTAGACCAGCAAGGATGACTCGGCCTTTCATCCTTTCAATGGGTTGATAAAATGAGTACCTTGGGATGCTTGGGGACTAAACACTGGGGGTTCCATGTTTGCTGAGAAACCGGAACATCTGCTCCTGCACCCCAGAGCACAAGGTCAAGAAAACTGAGATGGGCACAGTAGACCTTGGCCCTCTATGGGCTGTCGCACCACTGAGTTTAGTTTAGTTGTCCTATCAATGTGGGTTTGGTTTCATTAGATTCTACTTGAAATGATTACACTGGAATATGATTCATTGAAATACATTGGAAGCAATATCTCACTTGTCTGGGTAGAAATGTGTACTCTAAAAATTTAAGATGGCTACTAAAACTAACTTTTGAAAAAAAGGAAAACTTCACATTGTTTTTATTTAATTTATAATTAAATTTGGAACATTCTGGGTTCTGTATAACATTTCTTAAATTTTTTTTCCTGAATTATATTTCATCTTGGCAATGAAACCTTGGAATGATATTTGAAATAAATGGGAATGATTTATGTGTCACACTTCTTTAGAACATGCATTTTATCCCCAAATGTTTTTAGTTTATTTATTTATTATTTTTGCACATTTTGAAGCTTACATTTTTTTTTCCAGAGCCATTTTTCTGTGATAAATGGTGTGAAATCTTACATAACACTCATATATAGTAAACTGTTTATTTGACTGACAAATTCCTGGCTTTCCAACAGTTTTTTTTAGCTCTTGCTACAAATTTAAATGTAAATCATGTTTTTAAATGAACTAACAATTTCATTTATTTTCAGCTGCCTTCATTAGAGTAGTTGGATCAGAATTTGTTCAGAAGTATCTTGGTGAAGGTCCTCGTATGGTAAGGGATGTGTTTAGACTTGCAAGAGAAAATGCACCAGCCATTATATTTATTGATGAAATTGATGCTATAGCTACTAAACGTTTTGATGCTCAAACTGGAGGTAATTGAAAAACAACAACTATTTATTTATTATTATATTTAAAAAAAAACTAAGTCTGTAGTTTAAATTACAATATTGATGCATTTCTTTTAAATACATGTATCTTATTATTTTCAGAGATATTTTAAGTTTTTTACTGAAATACATTCAATCCTCTGAATGTTCGTCTAGACTAGTGGATTCCAAATTTTTTCCACAATGGAATCCATATATACTTCCATATATACTAAAATTTTCATCATTTCTTTTTCATTTCACTATAAATAATTTCATAATGGTATTATAATGTTATTACAGGGTGGCCACCCACCTGGAAAACCTTGAAAACCTGGAATTATCAGGGAATTTTTTTTATACTGGAAAAAACCTGGAAAAATCAGGGAAATATGGATAAAATCCTGGAAAACCTGGAAATTTTAAAGAAAGGCTGGAAATTTTTTCCTACATATTTTTCACTAAATTAAATTATTTGCTAATTTTCTTAATTTAAATTGTTTCATCCATTATACCCACATTTTTTAGACGGAAATGTATCTCCAAATAGTTAAAATATCATCAACTTACTTTGCTTTCATCAAAATTTGCTCCATTATAACCCTGTTAAACTAGAATACAACATAAAATTNGTAATTTTTTAAAAATTAATGCTGTACCAGAACATTAAAAATAATAAAAAAATAAAAATTTTTTCAAGATATGTTTAAAAAAAATTTTTTTGAATAAGATATTTTATAATACAGACACTTTTCTTGTACACATCCTACACTTTATAAGAATAAAGGAAAAAAACACAAACCTGGAAATTTTAAGATTTTTACCTGGAAAACCTGGAAAAATCAGGGAAATTTGAAATCTGTTTTGAGTGGCCACCCTGTATTAAATGTATAATATAATTTTAAATGGTTGAATGTCATGTTATAAAAGGTCTATAAATGAAGGATACCATAAAATTTTATCGAAATTGTTTGTAGCACTTAAAAGGTAAAGAGCATTTTTGAAATATTTTAGCATTCTCACATTTTTCATTGTGTACACACTTTGACCAATTTTGAAAAACCAATTTTGAATTAAAACTTTGGTATCTGAATTGCTGAAATATGTATTAAATGTTTATTCTTTCTTAAGCAAATATGTGTTTAAAATGCACATTTGATTTGTTTAAATTTTTTTTGCTTTAGTTTTTTTGAAAATCCTTTTTTTTTGTTTTATAGAAAAGTATGTCTATTTATTTTGCCAAAACTTTTTAATAAAATTGTTAAAGAACATAATAGTCGTGGAATATTGATGCTATAGTTTAACTTTGTTTTTTTTTAACCTCTTTATCTTCATTTGTAAGAAAAATAAAATCTCGATGTATTTTATTTTTATTATTTACAAATGTAAAATTAATATTATTTTAGTAAATTTTTGTAAGAATTTTAATAAAAATAATATTTATTTATTTTAAAGAAAGTAACTCAACGGCAAAGCAGGTGTAATTTCTTTGTTTCCTACCAAAATTGATGTATTTTTATTTCTTGCCTTAGTGCCAAAAATACTCTTTTAATTTACATGAAAAATAAAATATTTTTAGCTATGAAAACAGTTTTAAAATAATTATATGCTCTTTCTGAAAAAAAAAATAATAATAGAGACATCTATATTCAAATTCTTGTGAAATATGACTTTTCCTCCCAGTTACATTTTTGAAATTAATTTATTTTTTATTCTTTTTTAATATGTAATTATTTTCTCTAAATTCTTTGTAGTAAATAGTAACTACTAATCATATATTTGCTTGAAATGCATGCAGGCTATATTTGTGACAAAACCTACTCCTTTTATTAATGTTAAGTTCTATTTCCATAGCTGATAGAGAAGTGCAAAGAATTCTCCTAGAGCTTTTAAATCAAATGGATGGTTTTGATCAAACCACTAATGTAAAGGTATGTATAATAAATTAAATGTCTGTTTAATAATTAAAAAAAAAATAGGAATTGTATTATAAATTTTAACATTATCAAAATAAAATATCTGGGAAAAGTTTGTATGAAAATATTATTATTTTTATTATGTATATATTTAATATTATTATAATTTTTTTTTTGGTATGCTCAATTTATCCATTGTATTACTTAAGAATAAACAGACTTTAATAAAGAAAAGACTCAAAAATAATAATGAAAAAAAAAATAACAAACAACTGATTAAAAAAGAAAAAAGAAGAGGATGAAATTTTTTTAAAAAACTGGAAGATAAAAGATATAATCTTTTCATCAGCCCACGTGATTATATCTGCAAAAAAGAGTGATTTCTGATATTGTATCAATGTAGCCAAAGCAAAATATATTAATACAATAGTGTAGGGAGCATTCAAAAAAATTTTTTTTACAAAAATTACAACAAATAAAATAGAACACAGTTAGTAAAAATAACACGTAAAAACAGAAAATAAAATAAAAAGTATAAAACAAAATCTATAAAGCGAGTAACGAAATCAGATGCACTTACATGAACGGGAAATTTTTCAAGAATGATTTAAAAATATTTTCGCAACAAGATTNAATTATAAATAAAAATTTTGTATTAATAAAACCATTAAAACTCTTTCGTTTTCATAAAATGTCTTTGGTAAAGAATAGGTGTAGAAATATTCTATTTCGGGACTTCAAGGTTGAAAACATACCAATGAATTATAACTAGATTTATATTTCAAAGTAGGAGTTATTTTAAAATATTTTCCTCTTTCACTTCCATACTAGGAAGCATTGAATGATTATCGATAATGCGTAGAGTTTCAAGGTATGCAACGACTGAGCCTTTTTACCTCCTTTCTTGTTAGTATTTAATGCAGTAGCAATAGTTTTTGCGTGGCTCTTGCTGTATGATGTGCTCCATGTAAGATGTGCCTCAACTATCCGGAGTGCACCCCCCCCCTCCATTGTGGAGAGTAAATGTGCATCATATATATATATATATNGTTTTTCTAAACTTTCTTCGTGTTTTCTTGTATTTATTTATTTTGTTATATATATATATATATATATATATGATGATATGGGCAGAAAATTGTTATTTAAATGTTAGTACAAAAGTAGTTTTTTTCTCCTTCTTTAGGTCATTATGGCTACCAATAGAGCTGACACATTAGATCCTGCATTGCTTAGGCCTGGTCGTTTGGATCGTAAAATTGAGTTTCCTTTGCCAGATAGAAGACAAAAGCGGCTGATCTTTTCTACGATTACTACAAAAATGAATTTAAGTGATGAAGTAGATCTTGAAGATTATGTAGCTAGACCAGATAGAATATCTGGTGCTGATATTAATGCAATCTGTCAAGAGGTATTTAGATTTTTTCCCCTAGTATCAATCAATTACACACTGTTTTCAGATTTGTTGTGAGGGTATAAAAATATAATATTAATTTCTTTTGTTATTAGAATTATTCAATCTTTATGACACTTTATCTAACCTGAGACGCTAATAAGTCTAATTTGTTTGTTCATATCTTTGCTGTATTTGAAACATTTGTAATTTAACAAATATTTGTTAATTGTTCAACAATTTTATATTTTGTCTTATTTGTTTATTATTTATTCTTTTTTATTATGTAAAGATACCTTGCTAACAGTCTTTAAAATTATTTGATCTTTGATAATATATTGAGGCAGAATAAGTAAAGCAGTTTAATTTGTCACATGGCAAAATCTTACTTGAATTAAAGCTTGCAAGGACATAATCTCTTTTGTTTTATTTTGTTGCTTAAATTTAGTTTACCCTCATATGAGTCCATTTTTGTGAGGTAATGCTTCTGCAGAAATTTTTTTTGCAAAATTGATGTTCCATTAAATTTAATTTGAGTGTAATATTCTTATAAAGTGATTTTGACTATAAATCGATCAGGTTGGCAAAAAGTATTGAACTAAATTATTGTGAAAATGTGAACAAATTTACTTCTAGATACATTAATCAGCATATGATTTTTTCACATCTGTCAACTTTTGTGGATTTTGCTTAATGCTTTATTTAAGTAGTAGCAAAAGTTACCTATTTTTATTTAATTTTTAGATTTATTAATTTAATTTGAAATGAATATTCACCATCAATCAATATAGTTCTCCATAAATGAAGTGCATGTTACTTGTACTATTCTCTACTGTATATTCTTATTATGTATGCTAATTTTTAGAAATTTTTTCTACTAGTGCCGTTCTTTATAAATTCAAAATTAAATGTGTAGTTTATGTTGATTTGCATTTTTTTCCTTTGAACTTTTAATAATTAATTCATTTTTCTTCGATCCATTTTAGGCTGGTATGCATGCCGTTAGAGAAAATAGATATGTTGTCCTTGCTAAAGATTTTGAAAAGGGTTATAAGAACAATATTAAAAAGGATGAATCTGAACATGAATTTTACAAATAAAATGTTTCATCTGCAATGTTTCTATTTTCATTCATATTATGTTTCTTTTGTTTCCATTTAAATAAGAAATAAAGCTTTTATTTAATTTGTTGTATGTGTTTAAATTTTAGCAATTCATATATTATAATAAAATAATATTTGAAAAAATTTGACTAAAAACAAAAAGTAAGTAAGTTTTAAAATAAACTTGTATTTTAAAAATAAGTAATTTTAACAAGTATACATTTCATTTTTTAGCAAGAAGCTGCTGCAATTTTATATTTAATATTTTAATTGAGATATTTATTTTAACATGCTATTATTTAATCCAAACTTGTTGATAAAAACAATTTTATTAGATAATAATATCATTTAATATTTAGTAGTTGTAATCTGTCGCAATATTGCACAACCGCAACTTCAAGATGCCTTATTGTCCTTTTTCCTTGGTTTGCCTGAGACTTGGTTTGTAGAACTGCTTGATTTTATTATCTTGTGTGAATAATGTCCTTTGTGTTTTATCGTTTTGTACAATTTAGTTACTCTGAGCTCTTTGCTCAACTTAAAACCCCATCCCTGATCTCTCATTGCTGTGGAAGTTAAGAGATATTTTTTGCTTTCTTCTAGGAAAAAAAAAACTATTTTTATCATCTTACCTCTCTGGAGCTTTGAGAGCCTCAGGTAAACAGGTTCAACCATTCCAAGACACCTTATAATAAGGGTACATGGGGAACAAACAAGGGTAAAGAGCAATACTATTGCTCTTTCCCCTTGTTTTGCATTAGACTTGGTTTGTAAAACTGCTTGACTTTATTAAGTTGAGTACGTACTGTTTGTGTTTAGTTCGAAATAGCTGCTTCCAGCTCTTTGCCTTTAAACTCGGCTAAAAATATTTTTTTTTATAAATAATATAGATATGGAGGAAGGAAATTATAAGTTACAACATAAAAAAAAGGAATAACTAATAGCGTGGGGGAACAAAATAGTCAAACAGCATAAGGGAAAATTGGGTATTTGGGAGATTCTAAGTTGCTTCAAGATGTAGATATTAAAGTAAAGAGATTTCCAAGCTTTTTTTTTTAAAGGAATATAAAATATCAATAATTCTATTGAATATAAAAATCAATAGAATTTTTCTAAATTTTAAATGATTTAAGAATAACAAAAACTTAAGAAAAACGAATTTTAGAAAAACAATGTTGAGCAACTTTAGCTTTTAAAAAACTTAATTAAGTAAAATAATTGAATTTTAAATGATTTAAGAATAACAAATTTTAGAATAACAACGTTGAATGATTTTAGCTTTCTTTTTTTTCTTTTCAAAAGCAAAAGTTACTTAACATTCAGTCTATTAAAATTACTCAACATCCAGATATTTCAGTGTTTTTAAAATGCCACTTCACATTTTGTCTACTACTTTTTTCAATTCTTAGATCCTCTCTGTATTGTTATGCTAGAATCTTTGTCTTTTGGTCTACTTTCCTTCCTTCTCAGCTAATGGATTTGCGTTCCTGTGTGTGTACACTCATGGACAAAAAAATTACCGCACCTCAGCTTGGTGCGCTAATTTTTTTGTATTAGGTTGTTCGGAAAGTAATTTCGTTTTTTCCTCAACAGAGGATTTAATCGTATTTTTTTTCAAAACCAACCTCACACTTAACCCGCTTAATCATTATATATTTTAACAGCTAATATATAATAGTAAAGCTTGCTTGGGAAAAAGTTCGATTGATTCTAGGCAGTAGTTTTACGTTGGTGCTGTTTCAAATATGCGAAACTAAAAGCAAAATTTTTGGTATATTTTATTTCTTTTACTATCGAAAAGAAAAGGTAAAAATACTGTTCAAGCAAGAAAAAAATTATTCAATGTGTAGGTGATAATGTATTGACAGTGAGAGTGAGCTAGCGCCAAAGTTAGTTCCGAAAATTTCTATCCAGCTATTTTGATGTTGAATATGCACAGCTTTTTGGGTGGCCAGTTTAAATTGATGAGGACGTAACAAAGGCATTAATTGATGCAAGAATACGAATGAAAACTCGAGAGATCTTTGAGAGTTTCAATTTATCGAATTCGACGTTTCGTCTTTATTTGAAAAATCCTTGGTTTAATCTCTAAGCATGACATGTGGGTTCTTATGGAAAGAAAATTGTGTTGTCACGTTGACGTCTGTGATTTGCTTCTCAAACGTCTAGAAAATTATCCTTTTTCGATGCGCATTTTCACTGGGGGTGAGAAATGGGTTTATCTACGGCAATGTAAAAAAGTTGAGATCATGGAGATAAGATTTTTTCGCAGCGAACAAAAATTTTATGAGTGTGGAATCATGCTACTGCCAGCAAGATTCCAAAAGGTATTTGGTTAGAATGTGCAGCATATGATTCAATAAAATATTTATTCAATATGAGAAAATCGTTTTTCGCACACATGTCTATGTGTGTGAGGCAAAAATCCAAAGACAAAAAAAAAAAAAAAAAATTGCTTTAATTCACAGGAAGAACGTCTGTAGGGTGGCTACAGTATACTGAATTTTATCGATCTATAAGAATCGGTAAATATAATGAAAATACCCAAAAAGTTAGGGAATCTGAATAAATTTATGTTTGATGTAGCTAAGTGTACCCAATATTAATTCCTTAAAATTTAGTCATGTAATTAATTTTTTGAAATAAATAAATTATTTTCTACTCAAATGGCATGTATAAGTGTTTTGTTTCATCTATATTTTTCTTAAAAATACGATATAACCGAAAAAGAAAAATTAATAATGAAATTCTTGCCCGGTTTGAAAAATTAGAGAAACTCAAGAAAATTAATAATTATAAAGCCTGGCTGGGAGTGTTTGGTCATTCTGGTAAGATTTCGTAACTTTGGTACCAAATAATCAGTATAGTTGGGTCTCCAATGATTGATGCTAGTATGTATCAGAAAATCATCTAATTAGAACAGCAGTTATTCATGATCACATTTTATTTTTATTCTTGCCTCATAGCACACAAAATAATTTTAAAATGCTTTTGAAACTTTATGGAGGGGTTATTGTATCATAAGCAAATAATTTACCTCGACGCTATTTTTAAAAATATATATTTGCAAGCAATAAGATGTAATTCTTCATTATTGCATTATTTTTAATTGAAACAATCAATATTATTTTCCAGACTGTGCATTACACAAGCATTTAGAAATTCATTACACGATAATTAATTTCGCAATAATTTTTTCCTTTAATGTTCGACCAGGATTGAAAATGCTTCTTATTGAACATTTTCTTAAACGCGAGGTAAAAAAATTATCTTCTCTTTGAAATTCCAATTTTTCACTTGCTAGAAAAAGAAAGCCTTATAATTTTTTATTCTTTTTTCTTGTGCCATTTTTTTTTCTATCAAAAAAGTACATTGATCTGAAAAAGAAAAATATCAAAGGAAAAGTTTTTAATTAAGATCACGAGAAATCCTCGAAAATAGTAATTAATTCTTTTCAGTTTCCGAATTAATTTCTTTGACTGTTTTTTTTTTCATCTCCTGTTTAGGTAATACCATGGTATACTTACGGTGGATTACTTCAGAAGCGAACATTAAGAATTAATTTAATTTCTAATCTTTGGTGAAATTCTTTGTTCCGATCGAAATGCTTTTGTAGCTGCTGTTTGTTTTGAGCTTTGAAACAATGGCGAAGATTTTATTTGTTCAGGGAATACAAAATATAAAAGGTTTGAGTTATTTGGTATGCTCTATTTATTAAAAATGAAAAGTAAAATATTTGACCAAATTAAATTTTTTTTATTTAAATAAATAAAAAAACTTTCTAACAAGAGTTTTTATTAAGTATTCCACAATTCTTTCCTTTCATTAATTGTTATTTTGACTTTACTATTTCGAAGAGTAAGGGAAAGTTAAGCGTGATTTAAGAATCATAATTGCATTGAAATAATTTTATAATTTTCAAAAATTTAAATTTCCGAGCGACTAGAGCCAATACTTCTTGCACTCACTTCCGTCCGGTTAACTTCTTTTTCATAAAAGTCTCACTAACTATTTATTGTGACTTCTGATACTTGGTAATTACAACTATACATGGCAGGGACTAAAGTCAATGAGAAACATTGTTGCAACTTTGAGCCCTTGGAAAGTCATATAAGAATCGTATCACGACTTGTCTTTCTAAAGTCACTGGGGTATTTTTTGATACTCCTTCTGTTCTAATGTTTACTTTTTAGTGTATTTTTTTCATCGATGTCACGTAAATACTTTTATGTAACTTGTCTCACTAAAGCTCTGATTCCACTCTACATATACCAGTCACTTGAATGTCTTGTAAGCGCCATAATCACTTAAATTTATCAATATGTGAATCTCAATAGAGTCACAACAATCACATTCACGTGTGTGAACTGTTTTAATAGTTTCGTAGGCCTCTGAATATGATTTTGAAATAAATTTGTTCTCGTGAACTTTATTGAAAAAAATTGTTCGCATATAATATTCCTCACTGTCTAACTCTCACAGTGTCAGAAAAAATATATTAAATGTAAATAGACACCTTATTCAAATTAGCCAATAGTACTTAAATAAATCTGTTATTATATTATCTATTTTAAGAAAGAATTTGAAGACCACGGAAGCAGAACGATTAATATTCATTTTTGTCACGATTGGATTGCAATCTTTTTCCTTTTGAGAGTTACTAGTTTTGAAATATCAATAACGTGAAAAATCAGTTCTCCCCAATAGTTATTACACTGTAAAGAGGCTCGCAAAATCATTTTTCTCTGAATAAAAATGAATTTATATGCATAAACCCCTTTGCCCCTGTGGTCTTCATTTGGATGTCTTTTTCTTCTGTTTTTAAAATCGATGTATATGTTAAAATTTTTTTAAAGATTGCTGATAATAATTTCGAACTATATACAACTTTTATATCCACAAACAATCTTGATAAGATTTATTTTATTCAAAAATACTATTAAAGAATAGAAGAAAACAACACTATTTTTTTTTTAAAAAAAAGCAATCCAGAAATTGAGCATTTTCGTATTT